GAATTAATCCTATGAAGTATGTCTTATCATGTGGCTAGAAATCTGCATAGGTAGCCGAGTGGACAGAGTTCCCTAAATGTTAATTCATCTCTCAGCTGTTCCCAAGGGCTCTGTGTGTGCTGGTCGTATCTTCACTGTAGAGACTCAGTTTACCCAACTTCACTTTCCCCTGGATCAGAGCCCAGAGGCAGTCAGAGTTGAGAATGTATTGCCTTTTTAGGTCTTCCCTGGTAACATGCGCTCTATATTCAGGATGAGACGTCTAAACTCTCAGAAAAGTACCAGAGTCCCCCAGAGTCTCTATGGGCTTTTTATTCATTAGCTTTCCCCTTTAATTTTTTGTCAGCTTCTTAATTTCTTGCTATAATGTCTGTTTCAAGCAGTTATGATGTTGAGCAATTGCCTGTAACTGCAGGGGAAAAGGACCAGGTGAAATAAAAACCAGCCAGCCAGGTCAAAGGATGATGACACTCAGAGGAACCAATCCTGTTCCCTGCAGTCGGGGTTTACACAGCTATTGATCACAGGGCTGCTGGTTTGCACTGCTATTGATCACAGGGCTGATGGTTTGCACTGCTACTGATTGCAAGGATGCAGGGGTTTCTTTCCCTGTGATTCTGGGGCTGCTGGTTTTCAAGGCTACTGTGGAGCTGGGGGAGGGGATGGACTAATGTAAGTACAAACACCAGAGAGCACTGGCATTCTGGATCTTCTCATTCAATTATTTTTCTCCCTATCTTCCTTCTCTCCCTCCTTCCCTGTCTCCCTCCTTGATATCTCCTTCCCCTGCTCTTTTCTTTTGATACAGGGTCTCATTACATAGGTCCAGACTGACTTCAAACTTGCCATCCTCCTACCTCTCTGGTTCTGGGGTTACAGGTCTCTCTGGCTTGTTGGCTACTTGGAATGTTGGAATCTGCAGAATTCCGGGAGATTTTTTTTTTCTTTTTTCTTTTTTGTCAAGTGGCATTTTGGAGGTTCTCACTATGCCCCTCTCTGCTACAATGCTAAATCGGATGTTTCCTGTTTCCCCTTTCATTGGATGGATAGAATTTTCTTTGGCCAATTTGAAAGTGGTGCCTTTAATTTAGCTCTTCTGTTTCTCCAGACTTACCAAGAACCATACTTACGTTTCTTCTGTCTGACCAATTTAGAAATATCAAACCTATGTTTGCCCTTAAGCAAGAGCCGACCAGTGAACAACCCACTCTCTTGTCTCCGGTTTCTCTCTCTTCATAATGGTATCATTCTCCATGGTAATTCCAGAAAGCTGTTCTTAGCTGGTAAGAGTCTCTATCAGTATATTTTATTGGGATTACACGAAATGTATACATTACTTTGAGTAAAATGATAACTTCATGTGTCTGAGTCATTCAAGTCAAAAGTAAGGAAACAAGGCTGAGAAGATGGTTTCATGAATAACAGGCAGACATATGAGTGTGAGGACCTGAAGTCAAATCCCCAGGGTCCACATGAGCTGGATGCAGTAGTGCACATCTGTAATCCCAATGCCCTTACAGGCAGATGGGGAAGCTCCAGGTAAGCTAGTTTAGCTGTGAACAGAAGACTGCCTCAAACAGCTGGACAGTGAAGACTGCCACCGAAGTTGTCCTCTGACTTTATAAGCATTCTATAGTACATTCATAAACACACACACACACACACACACACACACACACACACACCCCACAGCAGCATTGAAAGACAAATCACTCCAGTAGTCAGTGCATCTTGAGGGAATGGTCCTTTTTCTTTGTCATGTCTGAGTGAGGCAGCCAGGGCTTAGCTGATATGTAAGCTGTGTTCAGCTGAACCCGACTATAGTCCTAAAGCTGGTCTTACTATGTCTTTTCTCCTTTATTGACCACAGACATAAAGTGGTGGTGGTGGTGGTACACACCTTAATCCCAGCACTCGAGAGGCAGAGGAAAGTGGATCTCTGAGTTCAAGGCCAGCCTAGTCTACAGAGTGAGTTCCAGGATAGTCAAGGCTGCACAGAGAAACCCTATTTCTGGAAAAAACAAAACCAACCCCCCCCCAAAAAAAAACTCTGCCTGTTGACCACAGACATAGAATTTCCTCAAAGGGCTCTTGGATTTGTTGCAAAGAACAACAGGTGAAATTTTCTTTTTATTCCTTCTTTTTAAAAGAAAAAAGCTGCTTGCTTGGGCTCCACCTTGCTTGGTCCAGGTCAACATAAAAATCATGTCTTCTGTGTGCTACACCCAGAATTTAGGTTGCAAAAGCAGAGGTAAGTGAAATCCTTGTGAGATTCTGGCTGGGGTGGGAAGTGGGAGAGGGCAGAAGGTTGACTTGGTGGGTAAAAGCACTTGCCACAGAACCTGATGACATGAGTTTGTTCTCTGAGTCCTGTAACAATAAATCTTTCTGCCAAGCCACCTGAGCCCTGCTGCCACGTGGGTGCCCAAAATAACATACAGAGACTTGTATTAGGTACAATGCTGCTGGCCAATGACTAGGATTTCTTATCTGCTAGATCAGTCTTACTTATCAACCATAACTATTAATCTATAAATTTATAAAGACTTATGGAGAATGCTGGGTGGAATGCATCCTGTCTTCCTGGGATCACATGGCGGCTCCACAGAGAAGAGAGGAGGAGAAAGAGAGTGATTTCCTGCTTGTCCCTGCTTATATTCTGAGTCTGCCAACTACGTCACTTCCTGGCTGGATCATAAGACTTCTCTTTACTACATTTCACAGAATCCTCCTCAACTCCTAGTCCCATCCCCCATCATCTCCTCTTTTCTGTCTAAATAAAAAGAAGGGTTTTAACATTAGCATAGTAAAATATATAACAAAACAGTTATCAAGTAACAACTATAGTTATGATATTTAGTCCATTAATATTTAGGAAGATTTAAAGAAAATATTCTATCATCTATCCTATCTTTGTGAGTCTAAAGTCTTATATGTAGCTTATCTTTTATAATAACTAAAGAAAACTATAACCATAGCTATCTGTCTTCAACTCCATCAAAGACCACAGAAGGATAATATATAAACTCTAGAATTGACAGAGACATGTCGATGCTTGGACAGTCACCCAAAGTTCCTCTGTAACGTTGGGGCATCTATCTTTAGCCCATAGGCCACAGTGTGTCTGGCACACTTCTCCATGAAGCAGGAACCCTTCAGGACTGTCTTGTTTTGCAAGTTCAGCAGTCACTTTCCTGTGGGTCCTGCATGTCCAGTTTATCAAACAGTCCAGGCAAGAGCAGTTTCTTGCCCAAATGGCTAATCTTGCCATGTTGAAGGCAAACTCCATATTGAGTTTCTTTGATGTTCACCCTCCTTTCTGATGTAATTAGTGTTGTCAGGAGCAGTTGTGTCTCACTGTCATGAAAAACCCTAAACCATTTAAATGCCATATATTCTGTAGGTCTTTGAAAGGTTTGAAGAATATCTATCCATCTCAAATACATCTCAGTATATCTAGAAAACCTAACTAACCTAACTGTAAGTTTTGACTATTATAGGTGACTATATAATTTGTATTGAATTATGCATTAATTTTAAAAGATCTGTATAAACACAATACCTAAAAAAGAGGAGACAGATGCATATCACAAAATTGACCTTAAAGTTGTATCAATAAATGAAAATCCATACCAATATAAAGTATTCATTTCTATATCCTATTCCCCTTTTTTCCTTTAAAAAAGATTGACTGTGATCATTACAATTTATAACCAACCCCATTTAAATGAAAACAAACATTTATAAACAATATTTGGGAATTTGGGCGAAGTTCATTCTAAGCTGCTTCCTGCTGTTTGGGGACAATGTTTATACTATGGGGATCATGATAAAACACAGAAATCCTGGCTGTAATGGTCTATGACTGCATCATCTCAGCTGTTTTGAATATAGGATCAGTTGGGCCACTGCTTCAGGGGGTCTTGCTTGGTCAAACCATATTAGTCTGGAAGGAATCCATAGTTTTCCATTTTCTGTGGAAACACAAGCAAACACTCCTTTCCCAAGTAACCTGTCCTTATATTCAAACTTAGAAGTCAAAGCATTTTTAAAATATGTAAGTTGGATTATTTTAGCAACACGTATAATCAAATGAATTTTAGCAGCTGTAGCTCTTTCCTCGGCAAACAAACAATTTAAAGACAACAACATAGCATATAGTATCCAGACTCTCTGTGTATTTTCCATCTTTACATGGCTTTTTATTATTCTATTTCTTTTACTTCCTTTCTTTCCTTTTTTTTTCTTTTTTCCTGAGACAGGGTTTCTCTGTGGAAATCTGCCTGCCTCTGCTTCCTTCAGCAAATCCTACCGCCATGTACCACCGCCACCACGAGCTTCCCTTTCTTTCTTTCTTTCTTTCTTTCTTTCTTTCTTTCTTTCCTTCCTTCCTTCCTTTCTTTCTTTCCCTTCCTTCCTTCCTTCCTTCCTTCCTTCCTTTCTTTTAATTATTTTATTCTGTTCCTTTCCTCTCACAATCCTACATATACTTTTAAACACATTGTAAACCCTTTACTGTCTTTACTGTAAATCCTTAACTTTTTCAGGCCACACAATCCTTCATCTGTTAAACACCATTGCTAAAAGAGCCTTGTGGTTTTTGCTACTTATGCTGAGTCAGGAAGCCTTTCTTAAATTAAAGGAGCCGAAAGCCTCTGCTTGTCTCTGGCAAACAGAAACCACCCGAGAAAATGCTGCTACCAAGAAGTCATACTTGTCTCTGTTCTTTTGCTTCTAAAATCCCTTTTTAAGCTTTTGTGAAGTTTTTATGTGGAAGTTCATGGGACCACGTCCTGACACCATTTTGTAACAATAATTTTTTTCTGCCAAGCCGCCTGAGCCCCTCTGCCACGTGGGCACCCAAAATAACACACAGATATTAATATTAGGTACAATGCTGCTGGCCAATGACTAGGATTTCTCATATGCTATCTCTGTCTTAAGATTCAACCATTATCATTAATCTATATATGTTTTTTATTCAAAGTGATTTCATTGTTTTTTTTTGTGTACACAAGAGAATTTATGCCACTAGAGCAGAGGCTGTGGATGACTTATATTTCCAATTGGGTAGGAGGACCCGCTTAGTCTTATAGTAATAAGCCAGCCGGTGAATTCTGTTCTCTATCAGAATCAGGTGGGACTTAGCATCCTTATCCTTTCTGTTCTTCTCAAGATGCTTTCGGACAGCAACAGCTTTCTTAATCAAATGGTAGAGATCCTCAGGGATATCAGGGGCAAGGCCCTTAGACTTAAGGATTCTCAAGATTTGATTACCAGTCACAAAATGGTCTTGGGCCACACCATGTGAGTCCCTTAGGATCACACCTATTTGGGAGGGAGTCAGGCCTTTCTTGGCCAATTTGTAAATCTGTTCCTTCACGTCATGAGATGTCAGCTTCAGCCACGTGGGGACGCTATGGTGGTAGGGCAGCGCCGACTGGGACAGGCCCTTCCTGGGAGTGTGCATGCGACCCATGATGGCGGAGGTCTGGCAGCAAAGAGAAAATGAGGGAGGAAACCTTAATCTATATATTTTATAAAGACTTATCAGACAGCAGCGGCAGGCGTCTTCTCTTGCTGAAATCACATGGCGGCTCCACTGAGAAGAGAGGAGGAGGAAGAAAGCGATTTCCTGCTTGTCCCTGCTTATATTCTGAGTCTGCCTGCTATGTCACTTCCTGCATGGATGTTAAGAAATCTCTTTACTACATTTCACAGAATCCTCCTCGACTCCTAGTCCCACCTAACTTGCTTCCCTATTGGCCAACAGTACTTTATTTATTAACCAATAAGATAAACATACATAGAGGCACTTCCCCATTAGAGTCCCTCATGGTGGAAGAGAGAACCAACTTCCCAAAGTTGTCCTCTGAGTTCTACACTTGTGCTGCATACCCACCCCCACACACGCTCACTCATAGATGTAATTTAAAAACTTTTAAAGATTCTGGTATGGGGATTTATTTATTTATTTATTTATTTATTTATTTATTTATTTATTATTGAGACAGTGGCTCGCTGTGAAACTCAGGCTGCCCTGGAACTTACTGTGTAGACCAGGCTGACTTCAAGGCTGACTTCACAGTTAAAGATTTATCTGCTTCTGCATCCTGAGGGTTGAAATTAAGGTATGCATCACCATGCCTGGCCTGGAATTGGGATTTTAAAATTGATCCAATTGTCCATCACCTTCATATTTTCAAAATAGCAATTTTAAGATGCTCTCAGAACATTTGCACACGTAAGGTTGCAAATTCATAATGCTCACTACATCACTGTGTGTCAGAGGGAAAAAGGAGAGATCATCTCAGTGGGAAACTGGTTCTCTGGACTCTTCTGATTGTATTATTTTCATTGTGTGACTTCTGAAACCACACAAGTCAGCCCTGTGAATGTGGAAGAGCATTGTCTCCATAGCACTGAGCAAGAACACTAGCAGGTGGGAGTGGCGTGAAGCCATTTATTTCTGCAGCTCTACAGATGATGCTTTTCTTAGCATTGTTCTCTGAAAAGGCCTGAAATCAAAGCATGTGCATATGTCCTGAACACTCTTCACACCTGGACTGTGGCATCTAAGTGTCATTTTTCCATGAAAAGGGAAAGGCTCCTCAATCTGACTCACTCAGACTCTAAGGCACACATCAGGGAGCTGAGATGGGCTTCTGCATCTCAAGTGCTAGAAAGTGAAGAAGTGTGAAGACTGTGTTTGGGAAGGTGAGGGGGCTTGTTGCCAAGCCTGAGTTTGATTCCTGGAGTCCACATGGCAGAAGGGAAAGAATCAACTCCTGTAAGCCGTCTTCTGACCAACACAAATTCACCTTGGCACCTGAGCTCTCCTACCCCTTCACACAGAATAAATAATTGTTTTAAAAATGTCTTAAAACAACTACAAAACCATGTTTATGCATACAGAACTTGGTGTCAACCTAAGGGGCTCCTGATGGCTTAAAGTGAGAAAAACTGACATTGAATGATCGTGACAACTGTAATCCTAAAATATAAAAACATAGAACTTCTAAATGACCTGAAGAAAGAAAAGAAATTAGCTTGTTAATTACCTTTGGGGGTTGCTAGGATACCAAGTTGTTTTTCTCCCACATCAATAATAAAAAGAACATTTATTCTGCCTTTCCTGAACACACTGTGTTTCTAAGTCATCAAGCAGTTGACGAGAATTTCAGCTAGCTTTGGAGAGGGTGGGAGTGAGCCACATTTCCTTTGTGTGACCTCATGATCACGGGGGATGCTGAGAAGAACAGCCATCAGGGAGACATTGAGTTATAGTGCCAGCATAAGCCACTGAAAGCCATGGCCTCCCCAGTCTTGCCGTACCTCCTGGTCTGCTAACACAAGGAGTACTGGGCACTGCTTACAAATAGTCCTCGAACATGGTGTGCTTATATCCAACTAGGAGGGTAGTTCTACTGAGGAAGAGGAACTGGCAACTGAGAGGAACATGTGGGTGTGATTTTCAATATGCAATCAGCTAAATTCATGTCTTGGGACGTTCTACAGGAGAAAAGAACACCTAAAAGAAGGGAGGAATTTAACTGCTATAGCCAGGCTAGATCAAAAGAGACACAGTGGCCTGGACCCATCATGCTTGGCAGTTTCTATACACAACTTTGGAGAGAGGAGAAGATGTCCATGCCCCTCTTTTAAACAGGGTATTTATGGAGGCCATCAAATCAAATTAAGGTCATTAGGGAAGGCGATCCTGACCATATGCCCAGGATCCTTATAAAAGAGAAGTTTAGAACAAATATAGATGCCAAGGGAAGAAGATATGGAAATTCCCAGGAGGAATAACTGTGTTACCAGAGTGATGTGTCTGCTGGGAACTTTAAGAACCACCAACCAACCCAGATGGTAGTGTGGATGGAGTTGTCAGAGTACCACTACCCACCCCTTGCACGTGACAATTGCTTTCCAGTTGTTTGAGTTATCCTATTTGTGGCATTCAGTGACAGTCCTCAGGGACTAACAGACTGAAGAAGATAGGTTTTCTGCCTTTTATAGATTTCCAGGGGTTGGTGAGTATTCTACACCTTGACCTAGATCATGTGCCCAAAGTCAAGCAGGCACTGAGAGGGACTAACTATAACCAGGACCACCTTTGATCTGGACAGCAAGGAATTGTAGGCTGCAGCTGCAAGGGAGGAGGGAGGAAGAGCTTCAAGGTGACAGCAGATGCTACACAGCAGCTTTCTGTGTGAAGGGAGAGGGGCTACAGAGGGTCATGGCTTGGGTTTGAGGAGAGAGCAGCAGCTAGAGCAGCTGTGATGCGATAGACAGTACTTACAGCACAGGGAGATAACCAGGCATGCATAAGGTGGTTTGCTGAACAGCCATTCTACCACAAGCTACACATTGTTCTACTGTGACAGTTGATATTTGATGGTTGGTAGGATCTAAAATAACCTAGGAGACAAACCTCTAGGTACATCCATGAAGGAGTTTCTAGATTATTTAACTAAAGTTCAAAGGTCAATCCTATATGTGGGTGGTACTATTTCATGGGGTGGGATCCTGAACTGGATGAAAAGTAGCAAGCAATCAAGCAAGTAAGCAAACACTCACGCAGGCACACACTCACGCACGCAGCAGCATCCACCACTGGAGGCAGCTCAAGGAGCCTCATGCTCCTGCCGCCATGTCTTCCCCAGCCATGATGGTCTGTACCCAGAACTGTGAACCCATAAACCTTTCTTCACTTCAGTTGCTTCTGTCAAATATTTTGTTACAGCAACAAGAGAAGTGATTAACTAATGCACGTACTCTTCGGGGATATAGCAGGAAACAAAACAAAGTTTTTCATTGTACTTGCTAAGACTCTGTGTGGCAAGGCTGGGCTAGGGCTCCAGGACAGGGGAGGTGAGACCACCCTGCACTCACTACAATGTTCATGAGCACACAGTAGGTATTCTCAAAGCACACAGTAAGTATTCTTGGAGCTGCTGCTCTGGTCTAGTGAAGGAAGGAATGAAGAGCCCAAGGCAGAATAACAGGCTATAAATTTATATACACATAAAGCATCTATCTGGGAAACTTCAGTGAGGAGTAAGCAGAAAAGTTGCCAGGGAGGGATAAGGGAAGAAGATTACAAAGTGCAAAAGCAGCTGAACCGCTTTCAAGTGATTCGTAATCAGTCGCATCTATTCTAATGACCACCAATTAAGCCGTCTCCTGACGGCTCCTAGAGAAAACGCACTTGCCCCAACAGGCCTGATGAAAACACCTTCCAACACCTTCGCTGCAGTGCCTGGCAGGGATGGTAATCGCTCAGAGACCCATCCAGAGCAGGCTGCAGGCATTTTCCTCTTCCAGACCCTCTTTCTCTGGAGAAATTTTCACAGTGATCCCATCTACCTCTGCTGGGATCAAAGACATATATCACCACACCAGGCTCAAAGATTTAAATCCTTATGTAAAAATAAACCTGCTTATCCATTTCATTAGCATACAAATTTACCTCTATCTTTAATCAATAGCATATATATATATATATCAAAGGATGGTTTTTAAATGTTTTCTAATGGTTTGCTCTTGGTAGATGTTTGATTCATATACCTATTTTACATATCTGTATGCCAGGGATTATGTGAAGAAAGACAGAAAAAAAGAAGAAAGAACAGAAAGAATTGGATCATCAGATTCAAGGCCCTTATCACAGGACAAGGTACTTACTTTTCATACCTGGTACTGTAAACCCGATCCAGAACCTCTGGTTGGGGAACTCATAGGCCCTAGGATTGAACTGTTACTTTGTTAAGTGAACACCATTTAACACTGCCTTCTAAATGCTTACCTCTATACCCTTAGATTAGTGCAGCTCTTAGATGTCATTAGAGAACTTCTTTTTGCTTAATGTAGAGGCTCACAACTGGTCCAAGTTCAAAGAACAGGTGATGGTGGAGTGCATAACTCTAACTGGGCCATCTACATCACAGTCTCTCCCCCAAGGCTCTCAGACCATATAGAAGAGCTGGCAGAAAGATTATGAGAGCCTGATTGTAACTGGAACTTCTTTCCTGGACTGGTCCCACTGCCAATTCAGCCCCAAATAAATACACAGACACTATATTAATTATAAAATTGTTGGCTGATGGCTAGGACTTCTTATTGGCTAGCTCTGTCTTAATTATTAACCCATAACTACTAATCTATGCATTTCTACGTGGCCTTATCTTACCAGAGAACACCTGGGATGTCCTATCCTCTTGGTCTCCTCTTGGTCTCTCTCTGCCTACCTTTCCCAGAATTCTCCTTCTCTCCTAG